GAAGCAAAAAAAGGGAGGAAGAAGGAGAAAAGAAGAGGCAGAAAATAAGAAATGGAAAAAAAGGAGGAAGCGTGAACCCGTTCTAGGTATTGAAAAAGAAATATCGTGGATGATCGAAAAATTGTACTATAAGACACAATCAATGTCCTCATTTTGTGTGAAAAAAAGAGTCAAGGATTATTATTTTAACAGACGATATACATTTTCTTTTTTTCAGTAGTCAGTTGTAACAAATGGAAGTTTTGTCTTTTTGTTTCAGCTGAGAGTGTTTTACTCATAAATATTTAAATTTATCATTCTAGCTTCAGTACAACTTAAAAGTCGGCCTGCAATAGTGAAAGACAGTAGTTTTCAGGAGTTTTTCCACGAAAAATTTCGGAGGAAACTTGCAGAAGAAACTCCTGGGCCTCCTTCCGCTAGGGGTTGTGGGGGGCAACTCCCCTTACCGACCAAGCCCCCTCAAATGAAACTCTGGCAACATGCCGGATTAGCAGGATTACTACTTTGGGTGGGGATGCCAATGTTGCAGCTATAGGACGACCCTGATAATGTATTCGCTCTCTATAACTACGCATATTTTTGACCACCGAAAACCCCCAAAAAATCAACATGAAAACACCCCAAGATTCGGATTTTCAAAACGGTCACTTTTACGCGGGAACGGATCCGGTATTTTCGTGACGTCACATGCAGTGCATGACAAACCTAGTTTCTCCATCGTTTACAATAAATTTCTCCATTTGGAATAGGCAGCAACTGGATGAAGAGACCAGGTCTGTCATGTACTGTGACGTCACAAGTGCACCGGATCCGTTCCTGCGTAAAAGTAACGTATCGAACGGGTCGGTTCTTGAAACAGCTTTTTTGAGCGAATTTTATTTAGAGGTTCGGTACTACTTTTACGCCCGAACCTCCGAGCTGCCACTTTATTTGAGTTCGGAACTTCCGATTCGGTGAGAAGCAAATCACAACGTTGGTGCGTGATTTTGGTACCACCTCTTGAGGTGGTTCTAAAAAAGGTTCGACCTATCAAAAACCAGATCTGATTTGCCGAATCTGGTAACAAAGGTGTCCACTGGTGTTGGTCATTGATGAGACAGAACTTCCCAAAGAGGTTCGGAACTTTAAACAAAATTCGCATATTGAGTTTGGGAGGTGATTTCAAGATTTTTTCAAAACGCCCTCGTTCTTTTCGTGAGATTCACCATTGGAATCAGTTATCGATTCGTAAATCTCCGCACCTTGCAACAGGCCCGTTGCCACACACCTAGCACGGCGCGTGATGCGTGATGTTCATGTGTCCCTCGTCGAATCGGCGTCCGTGAGGGACGGAATCGGCGTGGTCCGTTGGGTAACCGTCGGCGTCGTAGTGCGGGACTTGCTGTCGAGCCCCTTTGACCAATGACCATCTTTGCCATCCCGTATATAATCGAGAGCAGGCCGCACACCGCAATATCTCAGGCCCGCCTCTCCCGCCATATGGTCGATCGGTCGTACTCAATACCGATTTCTCTCAAAATTCGAGCTGCCTCCAGTTCACCCCTTTCCCCCTCCCCTCTTATACAATGCTTAAAGTAGCGTAGCCAGAAATGTTTTATGGAGGGCGGTACCCATACCTGAAAAAATTTATGAAAATGATAAAAAATGACGGGGGTTTTTTTGGGAGGGGGAGGGAAGATTCTCCAGTCATGGACAGGGGGGGGGGGTGGCAGAACTCCTGGACCCTCCCCTGGTTATGCCACCGATCGTCTGAGGAAGAAAAATTGAAAGTTGTGTTGGGTTATTTACTGTCTTGCTCTGAGACTTAAAATATATCGGGATTAAATGGTATTTTACTGATACTTTTAAGGCAGACACGCGCTCAAAAAAAAAAAAAGTTTACGATAAAAAACTAAACTTCACCCTACAACCCATCTGCCAAAGAATTTTAGTCATTTTCAACAGAAACAGAGGAAAATTACTCCACAACAAAGGTAACGCCTCGGGTAATATTTCCTCTGCACATTGGCAATTTTTCGGTACCCAGTTTGTAAATTTTTGCTTCACCACGTAGAAAGAGCGACCACATAGTAAACGCAACGTTTTGATATTACTATACGAATGATTTTTAGGTGGTGAGATCTGTGATCGTGAGAATACTGACCGACTAGAAGCGACGCAGAGAGGGCGTTGCGAAAGACGCGCTATCCCTATCGGACGATGCCAACAAAAAGTAGGTGCGTAAAAGAAAGTTGCAAGCTTGCAAGAAATACGAAGCTTGTTACGAATCTCGAAATTTAATGGTAAGAAACCTCGTAAAAGTTTATTTTCGCTCTCTCACGTTGATGCACTGCTGCGATCGAAGTTCTTCGCAGACTTGACAGGAATTACAATTACAGCCTCTTCTACAAGACTTAAAGTCACTTCTCTCGAACAGTCAAGTCTCTTACGGGGATTTACCTAATCAGTGAATTTTCAGTTACATAAATACAAGAAACTCGTCTTGCATGCAAACACTGAAACCTGTTTTAAGACACGAACGCAAGAATTCGTATTATGGTATGAGTCCTGAAATTTCTTTTCGGTATGAGAATACCTCGATCAATTTCTCGCTCGCACAATACAACAAAAATCTATTCTGGGTCCGCGTTAACATTGAAATTTCTTGGGATTAAATGCTTCCCTACCCACCCTGCAAAGGCTAGAGGCCAACATTGGAAAGAAATTGCCAGGCAATATTGAACCCTCAACATTGAGACAGAAAGTGATATTGAGCCATCGGAGATATTAATTCAGTATCCATTGAAAACGCACTACTATCAATACATTGAAGTGGTACTGTCACAGAATGTTGATATAATATCGCCTGGCAATATCAAAGACACTATCGCTTGTAAATGTTGAAAAGAAAGAAGGAATGTTATTGATAAAAACAAGTAGCGGAAATACACCAGGCTGATCAAAAATCCTCAGTACCGGTTTTTGCTAAAATTGACTTGAAATGTCGATACAATATCCCCTGGAAATAAAGATTTCTGCCTCATACGTGATGCTGATGCAACAATGCTACAACACCCTCCATCTNGGGGGGGGGGGGGGGGGGGGTGAATCAATATTGGCGGGCAACATCTCTTCATAGGGTGGGTATTTACGTGAAAGCCAAAATAACCTCGTATTGTCAGAGAAGGGATATTTAAGCGGACTTGCAATATTGATACAATATCCCCTGGAAATATAGATTTCTGCCTCAAATGTGATGCTGCCGCAACAGTGCTACAACATCNGGGGGGGGGTGAATCAATATTGGCGGGCAACATCTCTTCATAGGGTGGGTATTTACGTGAAAGCCAAAATAACCTCGTATTATCGGAGAAGGGATACGTAAGCGGCAAGTACTCACCGAGTTTAAGGGATTGACCTCGAGAGGAAAGTATTCCTGAGTATCTGTTTCTTGGCGAAAACAAAGTCAAGCAAAGTAAACTTTTAAAGCATATTGTCGGGCAACATCTCTTCATAGGGTGGGTATATACGTGAAAGCCAAAACAACCTTGTATCGTCGGAGAAGGGATATGTAAGCGGCAAGTACTCACCGAGTTTAAGGGATTGACCTCGAGAGGAAAGTATCCTTAGTATCCGTTTTTTGGCGAAAGCATAAACACACGACACTGCCGAAAAGTTGACGGGAACGAGAACAAGCGGGACGACAAGTGCGGTGATAAGACACGTGAGCGCGGGGCGAAATCCGAGCCACTCGGAGTGAAAACAAACTGACGGGGGAGCGCCGTGTTGGAAGTATCCGAGGTGCCTCGGGTTTTACTCACTAACCGGTCGGTGGCTGCTCAGGCGGAGCGCGGCGCGACGGTGCTCGGCGGGAGGCAGGGCGGGCGGCGCACAGTGGATCGAGTCAATAGGAGAAGCCGGACAAAATTTGAGAACTTTAAACGCTTATAACTCCGTTTATGTAAAATTTTGAGGTTCTAAAAGTGGTTCCATTGATTTCCTCGTGAAATTTCCTATAAGAAGCACCCCTTAAAATTTAAAATGTGATGAAATAAACATCAAAATTTGCAGTTTTAGTCAACAATTTCACGTCCGACCCCTCTCATTGACGCGATCCACTGTGCGGCGGCAGGCGGCAGGGGGACGCGACACAGCCAGCGCCAGAGACAGCGATCGGGACTGCAGCGGCGAAGAAGGCGCGGCGCTGGTTCCAGCGATCCTGCTCGCGGGTCTCGCGGGGTGTCTCGCAGAAAGGAGTTACGGGCTTGCAGGACAGGACTTGCGACCGGACCGAGGCAGAAGGAGCTCGCCTCGCATTCAACTTACTTTCTTCACCTCAGCTTGCCAGTCGGCTCCAGTTGCGTCACACTAATTGCTCCGTTCAAAGCTGAGCCACCGCTGACGCCGCGCCCGCCTGCGCCGCGCTCGACCGACACGGTTCTCAAGGACCATCTCCATGCCGAATTTTGACCCGACTTGAAAGGAACTTACTCCCGGCTTGTCCCGGAGTGTCTTCGGGTCTTGCTCGATCGCCCTCCTATAGTGTGAAAGCTCCGGTTCGAGCTCCTCGTCTCTTGATTGGTGACAAGTTGAGTAACCCGGGTGACAAATAGAGCGGTGGCATTCATGTTGACGCGTACAGCTTTTCCTTCCGTGCTTTTTCACGAGAGGGGCGATTACTTAACATGCGTACACAAAAGCCCGCTTTCACAGCGCTCTCTGGCGCTCTGCGCAAAGAGAGAAAAACTTCGTGCGTTGCCCCCAAGTTCAGGTCATGTGACTCTCTGAAGTTTTTGGATCGAGCAGCCAGAAACTTGAGGTCTGCATGCCGAAGTTTGGGTCGCACACCTATAGTACTTCGATGCTTCAGTTGAAACTACGTTGGAGTAAACCGAAGTACCAAGGTATGTCAGATGTGTGACCAGAACTTTGGCAGGGGGACCTCAAATTTTCGGATGAATGATCCTGAACTTCAGTGATCCATATGAACTGAACTTCAGGTCCCATGGCTCCTATCCGCGAAGTTTTTTCTCCGCGTGTGACGTCTAATCGACACAGTCCTTTCCGGGAGGAAAAAACCCTTCTGTTCAAATGGATCGTTAAAGTTCTCGGTCCGGGCGACCGAAAAGTTAAGTCATGCTACTCAACGTCGCCTGAGAAACCTAAGTTTTTGTTAGCCATGTTGAGACTCGAATTCTTTACCGAAGACTTTGGATATCTGAGCCGAAATTCAGTTTCGACAACCGATAGCTCCAGTTGCCTAGACAAAAAACTCTGGTGCGCCATATGAACTGCAGTTCCGTCCGTATGACAGAGGTACTTTATTAGAAGGAGAATGCATGATTTGGTTCTTTCTGGGAGGAGAAGAAGGCGACGCCCGGTGAAAGAGTGGCGACAGGGGGTTTTAAATGAAATGAGGGAGTGCTAACTCCCTGAAGGGTTGTGGGAGAACCAGGTACTGTGGCGGTTAGGTGTCGCAGAGCGCCACAGAGCACTGTTAATGCGATTATTTATATATTATGACTTTTACCGTAGTCATCCGGCCAAATTATCACAAACGCCATGCGATGCGACGTTTAAAAATTTCGGCCGCCATTTTATTTTTTTACAGAAAAATTGTTGGTTGAATCCGTTCGAAAATTTCAATGAATTTCATCGGCAGCACAAAGAAAGTTCAGTGAAATTTTCGGACTGCTTCGTTGAGCAATTTCTCTGTGAAAAAATAAAACGGCGGCGGAAATTTTGAAACGTCGCATGGCGCTTTGTGATACTCTGGCCGGAAGGTGGCGATATGCTTCCAAGGCCCCTCGGATAGTTGGCACTCCTTCATGTCTCATAAAGCCCGCTGTCTCCACCCTTTTACTGAGCGCCGCCGTCTGCGTCTAAACTAAAGAGGAATCCAATCAAGTATCTTCTTTCCAGCCTGTCTTCCGTCATCCTGCTAACATGGACATAGGCACTAGAATAGCCGTCCGGTCGAGACGTCGAATACCAGTGGCGTGGCGTGAATTGCGATAAATCGATTGTTATGCCATTTAAACCTATGGAAAAGTATCGATAAACAGGGTGTTCGCAGCGAACACCTAAATAATCGATTATATACCACAGCTTCAAATGGGAAAATATCGATGGATCGCAATGCACGCCACGCCACTGTCGAATACGATGCCATTTTTGACCTCTGTGGTCTGACGCACTACAAATTGATTCACGGACGCGATCCTTTTCATAGATTCCTCCTGACTTCCTTTGGAAATTCACGTCCGTTGCTCCATCAGTGGTTATCCGTTCCAAAAAGCTGCAAGTGAGTAACATAGGAAAGTTAACAATACTGCCGTGCTAAAGAAGAACGCTGCATGAACATTAGAGAGTTTCAAAATTTCCCTTGATAAAACATGTATTTTTGACGACATTCGTGCATATTTTTCCTCGAAATTTTCATATGTTTTAGATTAAATTGCGTGCAAAATTGTCTGAAATTTTGGGAGGAAAATATTCTCAATTTTCTCAGTAAATTCAGTTTTTATCGAAGGAAACTTGGCAACATCTGACGGCTCATACGGCGTTCTTCCTTAGCACGGTAGAATTGATGTTGTCTTAGAGCGCCTCATTCACGATGCATAATATTGAGGTGGAGGATGCCAACTGGTGCGCGCGAGTTTATGGAAGGAACAGTTAAAAGCACTGTAAGTGAGACCCTCAAATGAATTGAACGTTACTTTTATATTTATTAGCTTTTATTAGGAGCACGATTTATTTTTTTAAGAAATTATGAGTATGCGCAATGCCTTTAGGTTGCATCTCTGTTACGTATATCATATCGACGGTGAACCTACCAGACGACCAACGTTATGCCGATACCGGGAATGGCATAAAGTCACGGAGACTTTAACGCGTGGTTAAGAAAAAAGACTAGTGTGTTTCTCCTGAACACTGTGTCAATTTTGCAAGCTGGCACCAGTTTTTGTCCATTTAAGTCCATCAAAATATTGATTTGGTGAGGTGCCTCACCAAGAATCGATTGTTTTACATACATTTAAATGGCGGAAAGACAGTGTTGCCAAATTTCAAGAATTGCCGGTACAGCAATGCTCAAACAAACTAAAGGAGGCTCGAATGCAGAGAATAGGACAAAGTGCCCGCGGATACGGTCAATTTGAAAAACCGTGCGGCACGGACTACGAAAATTATGTGTTTAGGTGTAAATTTTCGAACGAATCACGGGTTGGAACGCCTTCAATTTAGAGTACCTGTATAGGGAGAGTAGCGACAGATCTGAAACTCCGAAAGTCCATCAGGCCTTCACCGATGCCTCCGCGAATAAAGTTAGGGCCCAAAAGGGCAGCCAACCTATGAATTTCGAATGTCCAGAGCGATTTACAAATACAATTGTTACGAACCGTCGTTTAGAAAGCATGTATTTGGTTTACTTTTTGCATAAATTTACTTATTTTTGCGAAAGAACGCTCATTTATATACATTCTTAGCCATCTTGGTTAGAATTGAAATCTGTAGGCTGGCAGTGAAATTTTGTGTGTTAGAAGTTGCTCAGAAGGGTGGCTGCACGCTGCACTTTTGGGCCCTAAGCCCTCCATGAACCGATCTGTCGCTACTCTCCCTATACAGGTACTCTACTTCAATTCATAATGACATACTCTTCGCATTTTTGCAGAGTTAGTTTAGTTGCCTACCCTATCCAAACCAAACCAAGGACTCGAATTTCACTACACGGTCTTCAGAGTGTGCCTGTTAATACGACCATGTTTTACGGAGAAAAAATTGTGTGTCATAACGGAAAATTAATCGGTACTCTTCTCTTGTTTTCTTATTTCTGAATTGAATGCCTTTTAAATTATTCACTTGTGGCTTGCAAATCGCTGGCGATTGTCAATTACCTTTGACAGATCCATTGAAAATGAACATTACATCGACGGTGAGACTCTCAAATTGCGTATTTCGTTAGTGGTGTTTAGAAATCTCAGGTTTTATAATATTCTTTTACAGGAGAACTACCTATTCAAAATAATGACTTTAAGTTTTTTTTTTCAGAATTTGCTTCTCTCTGAGAAGGAAAATCGCGGATATTTTTAAGAATTGACGTTAAATATCGTGATTTAAGAACACCAAAAAACAAGAATAATGATTAAGTCGATTAAAAATTTTTCCTGGATTTAGATAATTAAGAGGATAGCGTCACCCGAAATACAAATCGGCATGTGTAAATAGCTGTTGTTATTGATGTAATAAAAATGTATGCAACCAGGTTTAAATGTTTTTATTTTCATAATATTTTACAATTGATATTTTTTAGGTGCATCCCAGACGGATTACTGCTGTTTGGGACAGAGTTGAATAGAAATCAATTGAATGGAGAAGTGCATGCGTACTTCAAACTACCTAGTTTTCAGAATGTTCGATGAGCAATTTTCCGAAATTTCGCGTCGGGACCAAAGTAGCAAGTAAGCAAAGATGAGCGGTTTATCAGTTTTTGATGGTGACAAATAGAAACAGCATACGATAAAGCTAAATTGCATGCAATGGAAGTAATTTAGAGGTAATTGGAGTTAGTAAATCGAGTCAAATGATACCCTAATTCAGTGGCAATAAAGTAATCTAGAGTTAATTATAGTTCATTAATTTAATTTTAGAGCCACTTGGAGTCATTTAGATCCAAATCACTTTTAATT